AGCTACTTGGGAGGCTGAGGCAGGAGACTTGCTTGAGCCTAGGAGTTGGAGGTTGCTGTGAGCAGTGAAGCCATGGCACTCTACCCAGGGGCTCAGCTTGAGGCTCTGTCTCAAAAAAAAAAAAGAAAGTCTCTGGTTACCTCAAAAAGTAAGACAGGGGTTGGGCATGGTGGCTCACACTTGTAATCCTAGCACTCTAGGAGGCTGAGGTGGGCAGATTGCTTGAGTTCAGGAGTTCGAGACAACCTGAGCAAGAGCCAGACCCCATCTCTACTAAAAACAGAAAAAACTGTGACTCAGTGGGAAGGGTGCCAGCCCCAAACACCAAGGGTGGTGGGTTCAACCCCCCACCCTGGCCAAACTTCAACAAAAAATAGCTGGGCGTTGTGGCGGACGACCATGATCTCAGCTACTCAGGAAGCTGAGGCAAGAGAATCTCCTAAGTCCAGGACTTGGAGGTTACTGTGAACTTTGTGATGCCATGGCACTGTACCGAGGGCAATAAAGTGACTCTATATCTACAAAAAAAAAAGAAAAAACTAGCTGTGCATTGTGGTGGGTGCCTATAGTCCCAGCTACTCAGGAGGCTGAGGGAAGAGTATCATTTGAGCCTAAGAGTTTGAGGTTGCTGTGAGCTACGATGCTATAGCACTCTACTGAGAGCAGCAAAATGAGACACTGTCTCGAAAAAAAGGGGGGGATAGAAACATCGATGGAATGTTTTCCCTGAAAGGAATTAGAGTAAGCCAATTTTCATTTATGATTCTAATCTATACATATCATTGTTACATGCTACAGAAAAAGCATGGACTTGGACCCAGACCACCCAGCTCTGCTACTTACTAGCTGTGTACACTTGGATGAGACACTTAACTTCTCTGTGCCTCAATTTATCTGCCTGTAAAATAATGTGATAATAGTAGCCTATGGTACAGAGTTCTTGTGAGGATTACAAGTTTATATAAAATAGTGTGCTTAAAACATGCCTGGAACATAGGAAGAACTATATAAGGGGCGGATGTGTCCTTACTACTAAACAAAGTATTTTCCAAAAGGGAGGCTTACCTACGGCAAACTTGTACCTCTGCCTGCAAGAATCTTTCAGTTGATCCTGGACTTGAGCAGGCTGTCTGTGAAGGAAGACAATGGAACATGAAGATCCAGCCTCACCCTTGCAGCTCCACCTTTCCCTAGAAACCAAGAAGTGCTTGCCTCTCTGAGCTTCTTGAAGATGAATGGTGTCCCATGCCTCTGCCCTCTGTAGATGTCCGCAAAGGTCCCTTCGCTAATTTTGTGGTCTTGACTGAAGTCATCAGTTGCCTGAACCACGTCTGCCTCACTCCAGAAAAGACTCTCTCCAGCCAAGCTCAAAAGTTTTTCCTGCTTAGGAATGGAGGTGCTAAAATCCTGGGAATTCAGGGAAAAGAGACAGAGATTACTACAAAAGTTCTTTCCCTCCAGAACACCAGAGCTGAAGGGGTAGAGATCATTTTATCCAGTGGGAATCTATTAAAAAAAAAAAAACACGGACAGGCCCAAGCTGAAATCCCAGCTCTGCCCCTAACTTGCTCTGTGACCTTGGGTGAGTTACTAAACCTCTCTGAGCCTCAATTTCTTCATCATCAAAAATTAAGATAACAGGCTCAGCACCCGTAGCACAGTGGTTACCGTGCCAGCCACATGTACCGATGGTGGCAGGTTCAAACCAGGCCCGGGCCAGCTAAACAACAATGACAACCACAGCAAAAAAAATAGCTGGGCATTGTGGCAGGTGCCTGTAGTCCCAGCTACTTCAGAGGCTGAGGCAAGAGAACCGCTTAAGCCGAAGAGTTGGAGGTTGCTATGAGCTGTGACATCACAGCACTCTACTGAGGGTGACTTAGTGACACCCTGTCTCACAAAAAAACAGAAAAAATTAAGATAACAATAGTACCCTGGTGAATAATTTTGAAGATTTTCTGTAAAGATAAAATGTGAGTACTCCTGGCACACACTTGATGTTTCCGTTTCCTCAGTTCACAGAGATAAGCAAAGAGAAGATAAAAGAGCAAAGTGACGTCACACAGCTGGTCAATGGGTGGGGCTCAGTGATCTCAACCTAACCCACTACAGATACGCTGGGCCTCCACCATCCTGGGAAGCAGGATGCAGCAGGTTCATGCAGCCAGAGCTGCGAGACTGCATGTGTACACAAGCCTATAAAAGCAAGCAGTACTTCCCTTTTTATTTTTTTTATTTATTTACTTATTTTGAGACATAGTCTCATTATGTCACTCTCAGGAGAGTGCTATGGCGTCACAGCTCACAGCAACCTTCAACTCTTGGGCTTCAGTGATTCTCTTGCCTCAGCCCCCCCAAGTACCTGGGACTACAGGTGCCCACCACAACACTCAGCTATTTCTTGTTGCAGTTGTTTAGCTGACCCAGGCCTGGATGGAACCCACCACATTCAGCGCATGTGACTGGACTGTAACCACTGTGCTATGGGTGCCGAGCCCTATACTTCCCTTTTTAATACGTTCTTTTTTTATTTTTGCAGTTTTTTGGCTGAGGCTGGGTTTGAACCTGCCACCTCCAGCATAGGGAGCCAGCACCCTACTCCTTTGAGACACAGGCGCTGCCCAAATTCTTTATTTATTTATTTATTTTTTTGAGACAGAGTCTCACGTGGTCACCCTCAGTACAGCGCTGTAGCATCTTAGCTCACAGCGACCTCAAACTCTTGGGCTCAAGAAATTCCCTTATCTCAGCCTCCCAAGTAGTTGGGAATACAGGCACCTGCCACAACACCCAGCCATATTTTAGAGATAGGGTCCTGCTCCTGCTCAGACTGGTCTTTTTTTTTTTTTTTTAAGTTTTTTATTGATTTTAAGCATTTATTTTCTATTCAATTGATTTCTGCCCTCTTGTTATTTCCTTTTTTTTTTTTACTTTTTCTTCAGTTTTTGGCCAGGGCCAGGTTTGAACCCGCCACCTCTAATATATGGGTCCAGCACCCTACTCCTTGAGCCACAGGCGCTGCCCCCCTCAGACTGCTCTTGAACTTTTGAGCTTAGGCAATCCACCTGCCTCAGTCTCCCAAGAGCTGAGATTACAGGCATGAGCCACTGCATCCAGACATAATAAATTTGCTTTTTAAAAACAAGTGTAGAGGGTGGCGCCTATGACTCAGTGAGTAGGGCGCCAGCCCCATATACTGAGGGTGGCGGGTTCAAACCATACCCTGGCCAAACCGTAACAACAACAACAAAAATAGCCAGGCAATGTGACAGATGCCTGTAGTCCCAGCTACTTGAGAGGCTGAGGCAAGAGAATTGCCTAAGCCCAAGAGCTGGAGGTTGCTGTGAACTGTGACATCACAGCACTCTACTGAGGGCAACAAAGTGAGACCCTGTCTCAAAAAACAAAAACAAAAACTAGTGTAGGCTTGGCGCCTGTAGTTCAAACAGCAAAGGCACCAGCCACATACACCAAAGATGGTAGGTTTGAATCCAGTCTGGGCCTGCCAAACAATAATGACAACTACAACCAAAAAATAGATGGGCATTGTGGCAGGTGCCTGTAGTCCAAGCTACTCAGGAGGCTCAGTCAAGAGAATCACTTAAAACCCAGGAGTTGGAGGTTGCTGTGAGCTGTGACACCATTGCACTCTACCTAGAGCAACAGCTTGAGGCTCTGTCTTAAAAAAATAAATGAAAATAAAAACAAGTGGCTCGGTGCCTATGGCTCAAGTGGCTAAGGTGCCAGCCACATATACTTAAGGTGGCAGGTTCGAATCCAGCCCTAGCCCGTCAAACAACGATGGCTGCAACCAAAAAAAATAGCCAGGCATTGTGGTGGGCGCCTGTGGTCCCAGCTACGTGGGAGGTGGAGGTAGGAGATTCGCTTGAGCCCAGTAGTTGGAGGTTGCTATTAGCTACGAGGCCATAGCACTCTACCCAGGGGGACAGCTTGAGGCTCTGTCTCAAAAAAAAAAAAAAAGAAAGAAAGAAAAGAAAAGAAAAACAAGTGTATAAGGTAGCG